TTCTGGGTTATTTCTTTACTATTAACATACGTAATTTGCTAATGATAATACTTTGGGATGGAATAAGTTTTAATCACACAACAGAAATGAAAATAATTTCATTTAGAATTATTACAACAAGAATTTACAAAAAAAGAAACAAAAGAGTAAGTAGAATAAGTAATTGAAAACGAAAGACCTTTAAGAAATACTTTAAAACAAAATAAGTTAAAAATTAGGGTTGATAATCTACCGAGAAAAAACAATACAAAAGAGCAATAAAACATTAAGAATAAAGAAGAATGAAAAAAGAGAAATAGAATAATATAAATATATAAAACTAAAAAAAAAGAAAAAAAAATGAAGATTTTAGAAAAAGATAGAAAAAGTAGAAAATCCTTTTTGTGGGTTTTAAGAAAATAATTAGATCATCAAATTTGAATGTCAACAGTAAAACAGATTCAAACAGGATATATTGTTAAGGAAGGAAGTAATGTAAAAAGTTGGAAGAAAAGGTGGTTTGTATTTACCACAGATGGGAATATTAGTTATTACACAAATAGACAAGTTTGTAAGAATTACAAAAGAAAAAGACAAAAAAAGAAATAACAAATATTTTTAGGAGACATGTAAAAAAGGAGAAGTTGATATGAAACATGCAATAAAAGTGATTAAAGTAAATGGAAAAAAGTTAATGATAGAAATTCATTTTGATAGTTCGCGAGTATTTAGATTAAAGTTTGATGATGAAGAAGTAGAAGAAAGATGGTATAAAAGTTTTATTGAATTTATTGAAGATAATAAAACATCACAAAATGGATTTTCACGTTATGAAGAAATTGATTTAAATAATTTTAATATTGGAAATACAATAATGCAAACAGATAAAGGTTCTGTTCAAACAGTTACTTATACAAGAACACAAATTAAATATTCAATGAAAACATTATTAAAATTAACATTAAATAGTGATGAAATTGAATATATTGAATCAATTCATAATTCTCTTAAATTATCTGAGTGTCCATATTTATGTCGTACTTGTTTATCATTTCAATCAGAAAATTTACATTTTGTAATGAACGAATATCCAACAAAAAAATTATCAGAAATAATGAATTCTTCTATTCTACCTATTCCTCGTGTTAAATTTTATGCAACAGAATTATTACTTGCAATTAATGCTTTACATAAATGTAATTATATTCACATGGAAATTAATCCTGAAACTGTTTTAATTACTGAGGATGGTCATATCTTTTTAACTACTCCAGTTGGTTTACGTGCTTCTTATAAATGTGGTTATAATTATTTTGCTCCTGAATTATTAGAAAAAAAACAACCAACTGCTGCTGTCGATTATTGGAGTTATGGTATTTTATTATTTGCAATGGCATTTGGTGAAGCACCTTTTTATGATACAAATCCATCGACTGTATGCAAAAAAATTATCAGTGAACCTATTAATTTCCCTTATAATACTTTCCCTGAAGTAGAAAGTTTTGTAACAGAATTACTTGTAAAAGATCCATCAAAAAGAAATTGTGATTTTGAAGCTCTAAAATTTCGTCCATTCTTTGTTGGAATTAACTTTGATAAATTTCAAAAGAAAGAAGTTTCTTTACAATAAACTAATTTATGAATAGTTAAAATTTATTTTTAAAATTTATCTATTTTTTATAGAATTCTTTTTGGATGTTGTTTGTTTTTTTAAGAAAATATTTATTTTCTTTAACCAGAATCCTTTTTCAATTCATATTCTTTATTTATTTTTTCATTTATTTATATTAATTATCCATCGAAACTTTAAGGACAATCTCCTTAGACTAAGATACAATTAATTATATTTCTATTACCAATTAATTACTTTTTGTATTAATTATCTCTTTGTTTGTTAATGTTTTGGAAGAACTGTTTGATGAAATATAATTAAAAAAGATTCCTAATTCAGTTTTAAATAGAAAACAATAAAAATAATTTCTTTATACTTCTTAAGTAAAAAATAGAACAGTCTTTCGTTACTTGTAACACAAAGTTAATAATCAATATAATCAACAAAAGAAAAGTAAAAATAATAACACTAAGCAATACTCAATAAATAAACAACTCTCGTTAAAGAATTAATGTGAACAGTTTACGAAAAAAATAACAATATATTGTAAAGAAATAATCAGTAATAAAATTATATTTATAAAATAGGAATTCTTTTTAATAAAATATAATAACCTTAAAATAATGAAACATAAATTATCATAGTTCTAAATTAATGTATTAATTTATGTACTATTTATTCATTTTGGTCATATTTTTTCTCATATAATGGTAAGTATCTACGTAGTTGAGCAACCTGAAGATTTGAAACTAAAGTTTTTCTCAACTTTCCCATATCAACAGAATCAATTTGTTTCAATTCACCTGAAGTTAACAATGAATACCCTAAAAAGGTTAGAATATTATCAAAGAAGAAGAAATTACTAAAAAATCAATAGACAAACATTCATAAGAATGTACTAATAATTCTATTTCATATAATTTTTTTTCATTTTTATTAATTTTATCTGATTGAATAAATGAATCAATAGAATCTAACTGATTATCAAATGAATTAGATGATTGTAAAGGAGGAAATTCTATCTTGTTATGTCCTTTTGATCTAAAAGACTTCATTTTTTTTTCTATCTAAAGATTGTTCTCTGTTATCTATTCCTTTCCTTTCGATTTTTGAGCAGATGAGAAAAGTTAAGGATAACAGGAACATAAAAGAATCTAATAAAAGGAATAATTTCAAGATAAAACTTGAAATAAAAATTAGAAATAATAAAAAGAAGAGAACTAAAATAAAATAATAAAAAAGTAATAAATAAAAAGAAAAATGGAAACACCAATAGTTTTGGATTTTGGGTCACAAACGTGTCGTGTAGGAAATGCCGGAGAATCTATGCCAACAAATATTTTTCCATCGTATGTCGGAATTCCGAGGGAAAGGTCACAACTAAAACCTGATTTTTATGTAGGAAAGATCTTAAAGGAACAAAAACGAGAATTTCAAATCAAATCACCAATCAAAAATGGAACGATTGAAGATATTTCAATGGCTAGTGCATTATTTAAAAATGCGTTAGACGAATGTCAAGGATATGGAAAACCTATATTATTTACTGAACCTGCACTAAATCCAAAACAAATTCGAGAAAAAACAATACAATTATTGTTTGAACGATTTAAAGCACCATCAGTTTACTTTTCTATTCAACCAATTCTTTCGTTATTTGCATCAGAAAAGACAGATGGATTAGTTATAGATTCAGGCGCTGATATTACACAAATTATACCAATTTATGAAGGATATGTTATTTCATCATGTGTTCATAAACAGTATATTGCAGGAAATGATTTGTTGGAATATCTTGTTTCTACAATTAGTGAAAAAAGAGATGTTAACCTTTCTACAGCAGCAGCAAAAGAAGTACTTGAAAATCAAGTTAAAAAAGATTGTCTTGTAGCATTAGATTTAATGGATGTAGTACGATTATCATCAGATCCAGATTTATTACGTACATACACTTTACCAGATGGAACAGAATTTTCAATTGAAGAAGAACGATTTTTATGTCCAGAAATTTTGTTTAGACCAGAATTATTTATTAATGATGATATTTTAGCAAAAGGATTAGATGTTGCATGTTATGAGTGTGTAATGAAATGTGATATTGATGTTAGACGTTGTTTATTTGGGAATATTTTATGTGCTGGTGGTAATACTCTTTATCCTGGATTTGCTGAACGTCTTGCTTCAGGTGTACAAAAATTATGTAATGATTCAATTGAAGTTGGTATTGAAGCACCAGCAGATAGACAATATTCATCTTGGATTGGTGGTTCAATATTTGCTTCTATTTCAGAATTTAATCAATTAGCTGTCAATTCATTTGAATATGATGAGTTTGGTGCTCAAATAATTAATAAAAAATGCAAAATAAGTTGGGATTAATTAAATTTAAAAATGAAAGATTTAATTAAAGAAGTTTATAAGATTTTGATAACATAAGCACCTTCAATGATAATATCATGACAAGTAGAGTAATACTCTTCAGGTAAAGTTTTACCACTAAAAGTAAAGTTATATTGTTTAGCACCCTAAACGATTAAAAGATATTTATTAATAAAAAAAGAAAGAAGAGAACAAACTATAATTCCATAATTGTCTGATGAATGAGAATAATAATTAAAATATACATTATATGGAAGAATATTATAAAAACATTCTTGTAATTCAGAAACACCATCTTCTTGTTGCGATGGAATAAGTACAGTTTCAAAAAGTTCTTCCCATCCAGAAATAGTAATTTCTTGTAATAAATTAGTGGTTGGTTTTAATCTAATTTGACCTAATTTTTTGTTTGAAGAATATTCCACTTTTGCTTTCTTACCATCACCACAAACATAATATTCTTGACCATTATTCAATTGAGTTCCAATAATATCATCATATTCTTTATTTCTTTTATATTTTAATTTAGTTGCATCAAAAATATCAAATGATTCATTATATGATATCCATGAATCAAATGCATATGTATTACCACACAAATATATATCTTCTGTTGCTGACATTTTACCTAAATAATATTCTTTTGTATGTCCTAATTCTTTTCCTCTAACAATAAACCCTTCTTCATTCCATCCAACAATAACCGATGATGACACAGATCCTAAATGATATTGTATTTCATCTATTCCATACTTTCCATTTTTACTAATAGCATTTGTACATTTAATATTTTCTTCAGTTAAACTTCCAAGATTTCTACATCTTTTATACTCTGGATGATTAAGAATTAATGGTGTTTTATTTTCAAATAAAGCTCTTTTAATGTCACTAACTTTGTGATACTTTTTGTACTGATTAACTGAGATTTGAATAGAAGTTAAATTAACTATATCAGGATTTGATATGTTCATTAGTGTATCTAATTTAGGTAATACAAATACATCTGTTGGTTGTGTTCTTTCTTTAACAATATCAAATGAAATACTAGAATAACCACCAAACAATTTATAATATTGACATTCACCCTTAAGTTGATCATCAATACAATCACCTTGAAATTCATTACGGACTAATTCATCTAATTTATTAGGAGAAATTGATGCATAATTATTACGTCCTAATCTAGCACTTAAATGCAAATATTCAGTATATAATAATGACAAATAATAAGCAGATACTGATGAATAATCAAAAGTTGCATTTCTATAATGAAAATAGTTTTTTGAAGCATTAGAAGCAATAATTGGAATATTTGGTAATTCTAAAATAAAAGTATTTGGTAATTCAGTTTCTTCATAATAAATATTTTGAATTGAATAAATTTCACTTATAACGTTAACATTAGTTTTTAAAATAACATATCCTGTCAATAATTGAATTATTATTAATGAAATCCACATTAAACACATTGGAGCGTGTTGGTGTATTTGAAAAAATATTTTCATTTTTAATGATTGAAAGAAATTGATAATTTGTGCTTTATTAATTCTCATTAAGTTGATAATTAAAATATTTTTTTTTATTTCCTTTAACTTTTTAGTTCCATTTTAAAAAGGACGAATATAAATTAATTAGTTTTAATTCTATTATTTAATTTCTATTTTCAAGATGAATTATTGTGCAGTAAATATGATACTCTCTGTTGATGTTTTAGCATTTGTTTGTTCTTGGTTAAATGATGTACACCCAACAACACACAAAGCCTCACAAAAATGTTTTAGTCCCCATTGTTCATTAATAGAATCAAATTGTTTTTGATTAAATTTTCTACCAATACGTTCTAATTGCATTCCATTATATTTAAATTGTTCATGACGTGAGACAAATGCTTTTAAAGAACGTTGATCTATTTGAGTTCCCTTAACAATAAAAATGACAAGTTCGGGATATTTTAAGATTGTATTTAATGAACTTGACTTAATTTGATTATTTGAAATATCAAAATATTTTAAAGCATTTCCTAATGGTGTGTTTTGAAGTTGAATTAATGTGTTATTTGTTAAATTATTATTTGTACATATCAGTGTATCTAATGGAACATCTTTTAATTGGGTTATAATTGAATCTTTAAGTCTACATTCACTAACATTAAGATTCTTTAAATGTGGTAATGCTGCTATATCATCAATACAATTTGTTGCAATAGATGTTGCAGAAACATTTAACGCAACAAGACAATCAAATCTTTTTGGTATTAAAAATTGTGTTAAAAGAGTGTGTGATATGTTTAATGAATAAATACATTTAGGAAGATATTTTAAAGCAAAATTTGGTGTTCTTCTTGGGAGAGTTAGCTCATGAGGGAATGGTGGTTGAGTAAGTACTTCACAAAGTTGTTGATACCTACATAAAGCACAACGACATTTAGATAGTCTTGAATTTCTATGAGGTGGAACATGTATTTCCAATAATTTTAATGTTAAAATATTTAATAACTCAAAAAGGTATTGGTGGGTGTCTATATCAGATGGTGTTTGAATAGGTAATTTCCAGAGAGAATCATACAATCGTTGCATATCTCAATACACTTTTATTAAGTTTCCTTTAGTAAAAAATAAAACTATAATTTATAGTTTTTTTTATTAAAAATGAAATTATATAATTATACTTTTTTTTAATAATTTTAAAAGTATTCAGAAGATGATAATGAGAAAAGAGAATATTGTTGAATGAACTAATTCTATTTCTTCATTTCCCAACAAATGAACTAAACCTTTTCATTCTATTTTTTTTTTAGAGAACCAAAAAGAAAATTTTATTCTTTGAGAAATATTCAGCTAATAAAATTATTTATTTGATTATTTTATTTTCAAACTTTATTTATTTTCATAATGAATACTACAGATCCATATGTTTTTTGTTTCAATTTATTAAGATAAAAGATTAGTTTTAACTTGACCAACATTTCAAATAACGAATTAAAATAAACTATTAAAAGTGCATTGATAAAAACTATAAAAAATATGTGAAAGAACTACATTTTTACTATTTTGCAATACTAATATTACTATATAAAAATTAATCAATACAAGTTTCAACTACTTTATTACTAAATTAATTTCTTAATAAAAATGATGTTTTGCAATTAAGTATCCAATGACGGTACTCTAACTTTTCTTTCAATAAAATTCAGTATTATGTTCTAATAGCATTTTAAGATCTCTCTAAAAAAGAAAAAAGTAATGAATTGCATTTTACTCTGGACAAAACTTTTTTGTTAAATTCTTCCATTATAATTATTTTGAAGGAAATGAAAAAAAGTGTTGAAAATTGTGTTATTTAATTTATTGTATTGTTTTTTGTTATCTTTTTCAAAGTTCGCTTTTCGCTTTCATTATGAGGAAGATGGGTAGAAATAAAGATAATGAAAACAAAATATTAAAAAGTCACTTTGAAACGAAGCAATCTAACTTTCCCGTTTTCCATCAATAGAACAGAAAAACTGAAAATAGGAAAAAAATAAAAAAAGAATTGCATTAAAGTAATAGAAAAAGATAGAGTGAAAGAAAAGGAAATAAGAAGAAGAACTTAAAAAGATAAAAAAAACGGCAGGGTTTTAGAAAAAATAAAAAGATCTAGGAGGTAAAAGAAAAAGCGAACAATCTTAATTTCTCAAAAGACAGAAAATGCAAGCCGTCAAATGTGTCATTGTAGGTGATGGGGCAGTAGGAAAGACATGTCTTCTTATTTCATATACAACTAATGCTTTTCCTAATGAATATATTCCAACTGTTTTCGATAATTATTCAGCAACTGTTATGGTTGATTCTAAACCAATTAATCTTGGACTTTGGGATACTGCTGGACAAGAAGACTATGATAGATTAAGACCATTATCATATCCACAAACTGATGTTTTCTTAATTTGTTTCTCAGTTGTCTCTCCACCATCATTTGATAATGTTTCATCTAAATGGCAACCAGAAGTTTCTCATCATTGTCCAAAGACTCCATGTTTATTAGTTGGAACTAAACTTGATATGAGAGAAGATAAAGAACAATTAAAGAGATTAGAAGAGAAAAAAATTACACCAATTACTACTGAACAAGGTGAAGCTAAATGCAAAGATATTGGAGCAGTTAAGTATATCGAATGTTCTGCTTTAACTCAAAAGAACTTAAGACTTGTTTTCGATGAGGCTGTTAGAGCTGTTATTTCTCCAGCTGGAGGAGCTAAAAAAGATAAAAAGAAAGGAGGATGTATGCTCTTCTAATTTTATTGTTTCAATTTTTTTTATTCCTTTTTTAGTTAATTTGTTATTATAAAAGTGGTAATAAACAAATATTTAATAAAAATTATTTTTAAACAATTAAATTAATAATTTATTATAATAAAAGAAATAAAAAATAAATTCATTCATTAAACGAACTGAGTTGTTCTTTATGAATATCTTCTAATGTCCATATTGTCTTGCCTTTTTGTGATTTTAAATTAGGTTGGTTATTGAATAAATAACTCATATTCATCAAAAACTCTTTTGTTAATTTAATGCTCTGATCAGCAGAAATATCAGTAAATCTTTTTTCTAAAGCATCAACAATCCATTGAGGCATAGAAGAAATAATTTTACTATCATTAAATCTATATCTTTTATCTGCATATATTGCAACAGCATAATCATTTTTTCCTCTTATACATCTTCCTACACATTGGTTACATGTTCTCATAGCATCAAATATTAAATAATCATCTTTTGAAATAACCTTTTTATTATCAAGGTATTCAATTCGTTCTTTAATTGTAAGAATTTCTGATTGGAGGTATGGAGCTCCTATAATTAAAACAGCTCTAGCAAGATGATTTGTAAAATTTATTCCTTCAGATAACCTACCCCGAGTAACACAAAATAATATAGCACCTTTACCAGTATGACAAGCTAACCTATAGTTCTGAAAAGCAAGAGATGTTTCTTCACCATCATTTGACTCTACAAAAATTAGTTTATTAAGATAGATAGACTCTATAATTTTCATTTCATCCCAATATGAAATACAAATATTCATATATGAATAACTTGGAAAGAAACATAAAATACCATCTGGTACGGTTTTCGATAATTCTACTATTAATCTACCATAAGAATGAATAATTAATCTATTTGATCTATATGTATATTGTGATGAAAATAAAATTCTATCTTGTTTCACTTCTGTTCCTGAAGTATCGGGAGTTTGTGACGTAATTGAAATACTGTCAAATCCTTTTGTTACAAATAATGGACAAATTCTTCTCGTATTACTAAAAGAAGATGTTATTTGTTTTTCTTCAACAACATTATTTAAACCAAGAATATTAATATATGTTTTTAATGGACTTAATGTTCCTGACGTGAATACAATAGAATGAAATTTATTTAATGTTGGTTGAATAGCATTTGCTGCATCAACACAAATTAAATTTAATACACAATGAAAACAATTGTCTTTATCCATTTTCACAACATCTGGGACATAAGAAAATCCTTCTTGACAAGAACAGAGTAATGCTGCAAAATCTGCTACAAGATATAAGTCATCGTAATAAAATGAATCTCCTTTTACGTCTTGTCTTCCTCCATATTCATCTCCAAGTGCTTTAATAAGTAAATGAAGTCTAAGAGGAATAAGACTAACAATCTCTGGTGTTAATGCTAAAGAATCACAAAATGAATCAACAACACTTTTAATTGGAATTGAATGGTGCTCATTAATATGTTGTTTTTTGTGTATGGGAGCTTCACGTAATTTCTCTCTAAAGAAATTAACAATACCTTTCATTAAAATAACAAATTGAATAGAAGTTATTGTATCAATCGGAATATCATTTTCTTCTTCTATTCTTTTTGTTGTTTTTTTATTAGAAAAGAGTTTCTGTCTTTCTTCTTCAGTTTCTTTTGTTAATTCTGAATGTTTAAGTCCTTCTACAAGTCGTTTATATTCATTTTCTAAAGGTCTTTTTGATGCCTCAATTGAAAGAAGTTTTGAAAGACGATTCAATGAAATTGTTGCAAGTTCTAATGTGTCTAGTGATAATGTAAGTGTTTGTGCATCAACAACAACATTATCTACATTATGTGCTTCATCAAAAACAAGCAGCGTTTGATGTAAGTCACTCATTTTACCTACAGTAACATTTTCTACTTTAGGATCAAGAATATAGTTATATGTACAAACTATAAATGGTGATTTATAAAAGTTGTTTCTTGAACAGAAATAGGGACATCTTTGATATTGTTTACCGAATTGAACTAATTCATCTATTCCAGCAATAATTGGTATTTCATCTTCTATATCATGATAATATGGACATAACCCTTTATCTCTTTTTTCTTGACACATTAATTGTGAATGTTTGCTTTCTCTTACATCATCCAATAAACATAAGTGAGCCCTTGATGCTAATACAACTGATGGCATTGATAATTTTGTTAATTCATTAAAAATTTGTTTAATTTCATCTAATAGTACGAGT